GATTTGTTTCTGAGGCTTTCTGTGGTCTTTGTACCATGTTCTCATTGAGAAGAAGCAAAAGCAAGGAACAGAAGACTAGTAGATGCAGTAGTGGAAAGCAAACGTGATTGAAATCTCTCAGTTAAAAAAATTATTTTAGGTTTAGGCACTGATGAAGTAACCAACAAATAGATTGCTCATTGGTCATATAGTTCAATTTTGGCATTAAATTCTTAGGCCTAGTAAGCTGACACGGTTGTGTGAATCCCACAAAACTAAGATTTAGTACGAGCTTGTAAATAAGGATAAGATCTCCAGTACTAATACTAGTTATTGTACAAGAATTGTATTGTGAACTGGTTTAAAAGTTTTCATGGACATTTCTTCTGAGGAAAATAATCTAACTCATGCTATAATTGCAAAGGCAAGACACATAAACAAAAAGATACCCAGGATCCCAGTTCTGTTCACACACAGTTTTTTTACACAGATGAAACAACTGCAGATAGATACACCCATTTAACCAAGAAAAGAATCTGAATTACTAGATCCATCCAGACCTCATTTTCATTTTTACTCCAATAATTCACTAACAATTTAAAGAAAATATCTGATATACAGCATATTCTTTAGGCTCATCTTTTATAGCACAGTATTATAATCCAACCCTTTCCCTTTTCTCCTCTTCACTTAAAAGCAATAATAGTCTACCCTTGACCAAAACCACCCAGATTTTTCATCCCATTAGGACCATCTATGTGAGTCCTTAACTCTAAAAACAGTGAAAAAATAAGGTAACAGAGTCCTAGCAACAGTTGAAATGTAAGTAGCACTTTTTGCCAAGTCTGAATGCCCTTTACAATGTCCTACTTGATTTTTTTCTATGTCAGTTTTATAAATGGGAATAAATAAATAAATACAGAAATAAAATATTTTCCAAAGGTCATGCAGAAAGAAAGAATGGATTAGCCCATGGTTTAAGCACCAGATTAGATCTTAAAACATGGAGGCTCTGCCACTAAGCCTCTTGTGCAACCTTGCACCAGTCACTTAACATCATTTTATTTTCTACAGATAGGATAAAAAAAACAATACCAGCATGTAAGATCTGTGAGGAACTGCAACCATATGACAGAGAAGCAGAAGTGCCAAGAATAAAATTCATGCTTTTGACTCATGCGCATCTATTTTATGGACAAGACTCCCTCTTTGGATAAGCGTAAGCATACAGTTCAAAATATAGGATGCCTCCAGAAACACTAGCACATTGGGATAGCACATTAAGAGAAGCCTATTAAATAAAACAAGCAACAATTTCTGAAAGAGAAATTCATACAGCCTTGCACTTTTCTAAACAGTTTTCTTGCATTCTCGTAGTCATTAAAATGTATAAAAATGATTATTTCCAAAACAGCATTACCATGAATTATCACCAACCCTGTTGCCTAGCAACTGGAGTAATTTTTGAATAGTGAGCTATATAAACCAGTATCTGGAGTTTCTGCAAATGGGTATTCATTTGAGGGTTTAAAACACGTTCATCTTGGAAATCAGAGGCAGATAATGCAGCACTAATGTAAAGCTGAAATGCTTTTATAAAAATAAAATGGCACTAACAATTACTGCAGCTTAGCAAAACTCTCCTCCTGTAGCAGATCTGAGCCCTGTCAAACTTGGTCAGGGTAGGAGTTGACTCCCTTGCTCTTCCTTGGGCTTGCAAGTGCCCCTTTCCAATTTTTATGAAAATATTTGACATTCCTGTGGCAAAAATAATTCTTGTACAGTCTTTTGAGGGATTTGCTTGTAACTCAAGATCAAAAGAAACTGGTGACATTAAATGGCAATGTATTTAAGTGAAATTAAAAATTCTATTTTTATATAATGTACTGAGCTGGAAGAACTCACTGGTTACTCATACCATGACAGAATGATGTGCTTAGTAAGGTTCAAAATAGGTCTGGACATTAATAGTGACAAAGAGATAACCCACTGAGATATTAGAGGGAGATTATAAGTACATATATGAAAGATACAAACTTCCAGAAATCACAGCCTGGTCACTCATTAGCTGCATGTCGTTGCCCATTATAGGGATTCTTGCCCATTCTTCAGACCCATGTGGAATTTAACTTAAATGCAGGGCAAGATCCCAAACCATATCAACCTGTATTTTTTGATGTCTGAGAATTTCTACATTACTTTCTTACAACTTTAGTAGACAAGCTCCTGCTAAAGCTAGTGGCAATGTGTGTTACTATTCCCAAAATGGGGGTGGAGGCGTGGGGGAGGGGGTGTCCCAAGGGAGAAAGAGTCCAACTTAATGGCTTACAAGTCTTAGCCTTATGGGTAAGAAAAAAAAATGCAAAATGTGCTGAACACCAGCATGTGTTTTTCATAAGAGACTGCAGGCAGAGAGGCAAATTCATCCCTGGCATAAACACACAGCCCACTGAAGGCAATGCAGTAGCATCTGCTTATACCAGCTATGAATCTGAACAAGCTTTTCCCTAATACTACCTGCGGAGATAAAGCTGGATACAGCACTGAAGGGAGTTTAAGAGCCTGCAGCCTCCCAGATTTTAGAGAACTAAATTTCTGCAGTAAGAGAAAACCTGATGTCTATGAAATTGTGAGTTTCCGGGCTCCCAGGAAGCCATGCAGTGCTTATTGACAGGCTGCCATAAAATACTTAATGGCTGGTTAACAAAAAAAGCTCAGATAAAGTAAAGATGCTCCATTTTGTCTGCTGCTTTATGGAAATTTGCTGAGACCACACACACAATGCACAGTGCTGTCACATAAGAAAACACTTCTGTTGTTTCCTTTGGTCCCACTCAAAAAAGGCAGTTAACAAATTTTTAATTCTATCCTTAAAAATGAAAGAGAACACCCCTAAAGAAAGGGAAATTATCTCAGCTAGATAGGCTAGCTGTTGCTCTAAACAAGAGTGCTACTGAACTCATCACATCAGACTACGGAATGTGCAGCCTCTTCTACAACGCAGCACACACACCACACCACCCATCCTTCTTCTCTTCTCCACCGAGGAGCGGCACACACCTGTACTGCTGGACCACTGAGCAAACAGTGTGTGCACTCACCCAGCCACTAAGACTCTTATTTCCATTGCTCGTGAATAGATCACATTTGGGAAAAAATGCTTTCTGCACTCTTCTCAAACAAAATTTGCTCCAAAATAGGCCAATATGTTATTCAAATTACATTTTAAAAGTCCTCCTTAGAAACAGAGACCTTGCCTCTGATTTACAGATGACAAACCACTTCACTATACTTATACTCTATACTATCTGCTCTTATAGGCGAATCCAAGAGGAGATGCTGGCCTGAAGAGAGCTTTTATCTTCTTTCAGCAGTACAGAAATGTTGATGAGCAAGTCTGCTGGCACCTCTTGCTCTGTAAGCTCAGAACTGCAACAGCTGGGAATCACAGTGGAGAGAGATTGGTAGTACAGCAAGTAGAAGACATGTTTGGTAATGCTTTTCTCCCAGTCAGGCACTGCCAGGGAAGACAGCTGCTCTGTTTGGTAACTACTCCTTGCATGTTTTGCTGTAGTCTAGGGAGCATCATTAACATCATTTTTTTCTATTCCTCCAGTTGGCCTTCCCTTCAATCCATAAAATCCAACAGGAAGGAAGACAGGTTTTTGATAAGCATAGTTTGAGCTACACTTTGTGAAGTGCAGAGTTCAAGCAAAATATTCACACTATGGCTAGGTGCATGATCAACAAAACATTTCGTGAACGTTTATACGTACAAATTTGGTTGGCCCTTAACTGCATTCCAGTCTGACTGAGCTCCAGCATTAGAAATGTTTCCAGAGAGCATGTTTTAAGCCCAGACTGACAAATAATTTTGGAAAAAAAATGTTAGAAGAAAAATAAAATTATAACCAAACTCAACTCATCTTTATTTTCCAAAATGAAGATAAAACCAAAGAAGTAAAACTTGTCAATACCTTACAATCTTGAATGAACATGAGAAAATAATCATGTTTGCACCCTTTAAAATTATAAAAAAGGTAAAATATATGGACTGAAATACGCTCTGTGAATGACTTGGTTCGTTTTTCATGTCATCTTGTTGTTCCTAACTCCAGATCTCATATATGTGTCCTTCATAAACGCTGACACTCATTAGCAGTTCAATTACAAGATGGTACTGTAACCCTGTGATACGAGGTGCTACTCCCTAGACTTTAGGCTAGAGAAAAGCAATATCATCCACAAAATCGGAAACTTCTCAATAGGAAGGCTGTACGACTGTCTGGGTTGAGTAATGAATCCAAACTTGCTTTCAGACCTACACGCATGACAAATTGGGTAAGACAATGAAGAAGAGAAATGAGTACAAAACATACCCACTGGGTGAGCAATTCCTCTAATTTCTTAGAAGCTACCTGCAGTAGCAAAGACCACTTGTCTAGGGTGACTAGCAGGGTCTACTTTTTTGCAAGTGAAAGGCTGACACTGAGATTCAAATCATACAAAAATAAAATGCAAAGTAACCTTGGATCACAGAAAGAATCTCATGACAAACATGCATGCTCATTGTGACATATATTTTCAAAAAACTGAATTCCACACAATGGACAGGAAAATAATTTTCTCTATAGTGCTCCATTGTGGCAACAACATTTGTCTCTGTGAGGCAAATCTGAAACTGGCTCTCAGATGTTTTGAAATGTTAAAGAAATCTTTGAACAGTCCTAGAAAACAAAATCGTAATGTGCTGAACTTCGAGCCTTAGGATTTTTAAGGCACCTGGGTCCTATTTCAGCAGGCTTCTTCCTTTGAAACCTGAATGTCAAATACAGTGTAGCTACCCGATGGAAGGTTAGATCAGGTGTCACTGAACCTTAGACAGGTTTTGCCGTGCCTCAAGAAGGCTGGACTGACCCCGGCAGACTGTCTCTCTGCTTACCCCATGCCTGCCTCAGGCCCCGACAAGCCCACTACTTGCAAGCATCCTCTCATTAGGTGCAACACAGAATACCACTTACTTGTATGGGATGTGTTTGCTTCCATTGACAAGGGCGAGGATGACATTGCCCAGTGCTGACAATGAGAGACAGAGGCCAGAGCTTCCCTCCCGGTTTTTGCTGAGCACTTTCACGCAGCTACCCAGGTCAATAAGGTGCAAGCGGCTGCGACCTCCAGACACTGCCATAAACAAAGAAAGCAAACAGTTAGCATGTGCCTCCAAAAGCAGCTTCCCAGGAAAGCAAAAGTCTCGCCACGACTTGCGAAGAGGAAACAATCCAGAAACCTTTTCTAATTCATGTTAGCAGCAATAAACTGTAGGGGTCCTCTTAAATCACTGTCAGCCTTTATTGCTGTACATTGCTGTCCACTCCAGACTTGCCTAAAAATTTCCAAGGCTTTCAGTACCCATCCACTCCTGCAGGTTTAACTCTGTGGGAGTCACCACTGTGCTTCTTTTTTTTTTTTTTTTTTTTTATTATCGGCCTATTACTCTTTACACAT